GAAAAATGCAATAATTAGAGCAGATCAGATATATTTTTACAAATATAATTTATATGACACTTGTGAATGAGCGCAACAGAAATGTATGATCACATGTATATGTGTACATGCGAAGGGAAAAGTGGTTAGAATCTGCACGAGGCCTATGGCGGGCTCAATACTTTTTGAAGGTTAGAAAACCTAGTTTTTCACTAGTTTAAAAGAACGTTAACGTTAACGATAAAAGAAATAATCTAATACAGAGTAAATTAAAACTTATTCTTTAAAAATTTTTGTCACTTTTTACAAACCCCAATATTCTCTTTCTAGGTTTTGCAAGTAGAATTTTATTCAACCTTTTAGGTTTTATTCTATTACTCTGTTTGCTCACTGCGTGACCACCTTTCGAAAATAAACTGTCGGATAGAACTGATGTACTATAGCAACAATTGTTAAGTATTTGAAAGCTACTTTATATTTGTACATACATTATAAAATTGTGTTTGTAAATCGCCCCATAATTCCAGCGAATTTTCTGCTAGCCTTCCAACTGGGATATGCATACATATACAGTCTAACCTGGATAAGCTAGAGTTCAAGTTAGCAAAATCTCATTCTCGCTCATGGAGGTTTCTCACTAAGCCAAGTTTCTCGCTAATGCAGGTCTTTTATGAATGTATGTATTTTTATAGTAGCTATAGCTCCTCCTAAATAACATATATAAATAAATATAGCCCGACTGTCCCTAATAAAAATATAGATAAGTAATAGTCTCATTTACGGAGGTGAATGAGAGAAAAACGACTCGCTCCTACAGAAGTTTATGTTTTTCGCTAATAGAGATTTTGGGAGCTTAAAATAATGAGTCCTGGCTGTTACTCTCACTTATCCAGTTCTCCCTTAGCCAGGTTTGACTGTATATGAATAACTCATCTGACATAACCAACAATTCGTTTCTTCTTATCTTCCAATTTTTAAACATAATGCTGCACATTATAATTTTTTTTCACCTAACGGTCGCACGTATCACCTAAAACTAAGCAAGCTAAATATATACATTTATACATATAAATTATCAGGATGAGGAGGAAACTTGAAATCCGGGTAACTGTCTGTCTGTCAGTCTGTTCCTGCAAGCCGTAACTTGATTAAAAATTTAGTAATATTGATGAAACTTCGTATGCGCATTTCTTGGCAAAAAAAAAAAAAAAAAGTTCATAGGTGGTCGTAATCGGACCACTGCCGAATAAGAGTAAAAAATTTTTTAAAAGTGGGTGTGGCACACGCTCAAAAAGTTTAATATATACATCTTTCTTTTGGAGTCATGACCAGAAGTTCACGGAAGTGAGGAAAGTTTTCTGATTGTCATTCACTTGGGAATGGCAAGAAACGATTCTTTTACATATGGCTCAAGCAGCTCACGACTTCCAGTTCTTGACCAAGTATCCTCTGGGTAGCCAGAAAATATCCGTTTGAATGCGAGCTAAAATGAGAAGGCGAAACATCTCCTCCTTTTGATGGCGACCATGGCAAAAGCACTAAAGATAACGATTTAAGTGCATGCACCTGGAATGTCCAGCTCCTTAATTGGGGAGCTGCCGCTGACCAGATGGTTGATGTCCTCGTTAGAGTGAAGGCTGATATCACCGATTTGGTGTGGGATTCGTGGTATGAGACGATGAACGTGAATCGAAACGAATCTCTTCAACATATCGCTGATTTGCGTCCCGACGGAAGAGAAGGAGGATTTGACCAAAGACGCCCATTATGAGCGCTTAGAGCGCACCTACGAGAGCTGGTCCCGCCACGATTTCAGAACATCGACTACTATCACTACCTTATTGTTGCCAAGATACGCACCCGCCTCTGTGCAGCAAAAAACGCCCGCAACAAACACAAGGAAGGTTCGACGTCGAGAAGTTGCAAACACAACAGATAGCCGAACGATTTTCTACTCACCTTGCACTCCTGCACTAGTCAACAACTCGATATAAGTGAACTGTGGGACGGCATTTCAAACTCTTTACGTACAGCCGCAACCCAAACCATTGGTTTCCGGAAAGTGAAAAGAACAGCTGGAACGATGAGGAGTGCCCGACATATCCAAAATATGTCCTGCGCGCAATGTGTCTCCGCATGACACTGACCACCTCTTTTCGCCAACCCACGTATCTGACACCCCTCTCCATTTGGTCCGAATCAGTCAAAACAGCACGTTTCTTGTTCCTTCCGTTAGATGACGCCAATGAAAACTTAGCGAGTCCTTACCATACAAATGGTGACTAGGTCTCCGCTAAAACAACAACATGAGGAGTGCTATGTTGCAGTGGAGAGAAAACAGACTGCCTGTCTCGAAGCGTTACAATCGATCACAACACGTGCGGGACGGGACATACCGAGAGTTGAGGAGGAAAACTAGACGCATTTGCAGACATGCAAATGACATTGCATGCATCAGCTTCTTTGTAAAATATGGTCGGACGAAAGCATACCCAACGAGTGGAATTTAAGTGTACACAATCTACAAAAAGGAAGACCCTACAATCTTCACTAACTAACCTAGGATAAGTGTCCTAAATATCGCGTATAAGCATTTATCTAGGGTATTGTGTGAAAGGTTAAAGCCCACTGTCAACAAACTGATTGTGCCTTATCAGTGTGGCGTTAGAGCTGAAAAATCAATGTCTGAATTTGGTAACCCCGCAAAACTAATACGGCTATGTAAACTGACGTTGGGCAACACTAAAAGCTGTTCGATACCAAACGATGTTCCAGACAAAGCGACCCCCTATCGTGCGACCTCTTCAATCTGCTGCTGGAGAAAATAATTCGAGCTGCAGAACTTAAATGAGCAGGTACAATTTTCTATAAGAGAGCTGCTGGCGCATGCTGATGTTATTGATACCCGCAGCGTTAGTTCTGCTTTCTTCAGACTAGATAAGGAAGCAAAGCAAATGGGTCTGGCAGTGAACGAGGGGAAGACGAAATATCTCCTGTCATCAAACAAACAGTCGTCGCACTCGTGACTAGGCTTCCACGTCACTGTTAACAGTCATAACTTCGAAGTTGAAGATAATTTTGTCTATCTTGGAACCTGCATTAACAGCAACAACATCGTCAGCCTCGAAATCTAAAGCAGAATAACTGAGAATTAAATTTTACCCCTGAAATATAAACGGGGTCAATTTTAAACAAGGGGCGTGGCACCTCCCACTTTGAGTTGAAAAACTTATCTTGATCTGATTCTTTTTTTCCGAGTGTTCAAATCAAGAAGCAATTAATATAACGAATATTAAATGAAGCTTAAAATCTCACCTTTCAAATACTATATTGTATGACACAATTTGTTTGGTAGCACTGGAGATATACGACATCTATTGGCCAAAATACGACTACCAAATATAAAGATTTTGGAACTTCCGGGTCTCTTTATACCGCATATATCGGTCAATATGTGAGTTATGTAAAGAAAATTGATAATGTGACTTAGACCCCATATTACTAACAGGCCTTATGTTACTGAAGGTACTTTCTTGGATTTAATCCTTGCAAGTTTCAAGACTATGAAATGTTTGGTTATAACTAGTAGAACTTAGCTTTTTCTTACTTCTTTTGGACTAACTTATGATGGTCAGTCCAAATACTAAAAGAGTTTTCAGCTTGATCGGAACTATCTTGAGAGTTCATGCGATATATGCATTAACCCTGATACTTTCTATGCTCTTTTTAATAGCTAATGCTAAAAAACTTTCTATCTATCTACTGCCATTGAAAATAGCTAAATTGTTGCGTGTTCATTTATTATCATGAAATAAGATTTGCAAAATGGCGTCGACTAGGCAAGTTCGAGTTGTAGAAGCACATATTTGACCTAGTGAAACGTTTAGAAATTTTATGAGGATGACAATATTTTATATCCTGGGTCGGAATACATATGTATGCATTTATGTGTTTATTTACTATTTCCCTTATGTTGTCATAATTTTCATTTTGCTAAATTACAATTTCCGAAAAAAACCATGAAAACATCAGACACTGGGACCATGTGACGGAAACATTATACAAAAATTGATGCATCGAATAAAAGCACCGATGCATCGAAATTAAGTGATGCATCACATTAAATAAACATCGATATTTCAACGATTGATACCGGCCGTCACTATTATACACTATAAGCGATAGCTGAGAGCAATTACGCTTCTACAAGGTACGTTCAAAAGTAAACAGGACTTTTTGAATTTAGCTCTCCCTGGTGGCGCCATCTATATGTCGACTGGTGCGTTAAAATTTGCTATCTCTATCGAATGTCCAGCGAGAATTATGAATGATTTTATGACATTTCATTGATTGGAAGCGAAGTTATTGCATTTTAAGTTTTAGTATGTATGTGTTATCAGTGCGAAAATGATCTTTGAACAAAGAGCCAACATTAAATTTTGTTTTAAAATTTGTAAAGCTTTTACCAAAACGCTTCAATTGATGAAAGAAGTTTATGGCGCACAAGAGTGCACAAGTGCCATCAACGTTCTCAAAGTGGTCGTGAGGACGTAAATGCCAATCAAAATCCGTGATCACCGGAAATTCCATCGATACTGTGCATAAGTTCATCAAAAATCAGCCGGAATCATCATTGAAATTCATGGAAATGGAATTGAAC